CTCTCTCTCTCTCTCTCTCTCTCTCTCTCTCTCTCTCTCTCTCTCTCTCTCCTCCCTCTCCTCCCTCTCTGCTTCTCTCCCTTTATGGAAATTAAATTAAAAAGTATTTACTCTTTGGGCAAAACAAATGTGATTTACAGCAATTTAGTGCCACTTGAGGCAAATCTTGTGAGTTTATTTAATCCCTCGGAAATTTAGATACGAAGACAACTCACTTCTTGCCTCATTCATTTCCTTTGTTCCTGTTCTACTGAAAATGTAGCTTTAGAGCGCTCATTTTAAATCTGGATGACTGTCTGGATCTAACACCTGGTCTCCCCGACTTTACCCGACGAGAATAACAATCCCTCCTGTTTTCTGAGCGCGTGGTACCTTGCTCCAGGTAGACCCAGGGCCCGTGCTGGGTGCTCTGCGAGGACAGCTTCATCGACCGACAGTGCTGCCTTCGAGGTGGGCACTCCTGTCACCTCCATGTAGCGAGTGAGGCCCCTGCAGCTTGGTGATCCGGTTGGAACCAGGGGAATGTCAGCCCAGGGCTCTGGCTGGAGTTGTGTCCCATAGGAACCCGAGGAACTTTGAGAAGCTCAAGTTCAGGCTGGGGTTTCCTGCTTAGCCCTGTGATTTGCTTTTCTCTGGGAGAATACTGTGGATTAGGCCTGTTTTCCAAAGGGGAATCTGCGGATTAATTAGTCAGGAAGATGTCAACTCTGAAGAAAGGCTACAAGGTCTAATCGACGGGATCAGTACATCTCTTCCTCAGTCCCTCTTGTGACAAATATCTAGTGAATTTCTACTCTGTGCCCAGCCTTGTGTTGGGTGCTGTGATGAACACATAAGGAACAAAACATAAATTCCGTTCAAAAAATAAACAATTTATTTTGGGAGGCAAAATTTTATCTGGAAAGAGATTAAAAAGAAAAGGTAATGTAACTATTAAGTGATGTGATACAGCCCGTGAGTGCTTTGAGAGTTCAGATGGAAAAAACGGCATCCAGAGCAGCGAGGGAAGGACATTTGTGGTAGATTTTGATTCTCGGAGGGGCGGGTAGAGTTGACATTTCAGTTGCCTAGTGCTGGTAGAAGAGACAGTGTGGATAGTATTTACTAGAATAATAGTCAAGCAGCAAACTGTTAGTGCTGATGTCAAGAAAGTATCCTCAATGGGGGAAATAAAATTGATTAATTTTAGTATGATAATAGAAAAGTAGAAAACCTCAGAATTTTAGTCTTTTTCACATTTAAAACAAGTTTTTTTCATTTTGCAATAATTTCAGATGAACAAAATGTTGCAAAACATAGTACAAAGAGCTTTCAAAAGTGTTAAGTCCCTTAAAATTGTGAAATATAGAATGCAAATCACTCTTTTTTTATCTTAGGTGCCTCAGGTGATCCTTAACCCAAAAGGATTCCTGTCAATGAGGGGAGAGAAGTGATGCCAGTCTCTTGAGGCTACCTAACTAAAACCACAGCTTCTCAGGAAAGGCAAGGAGCCTCGTCAGATGTGGCCATCCTCTGGCATGTGGCTGGAGAGGCACTGACAAGTCCTGAACTGTCCTTTCTGCCTGGCCTGGCTTAGGTTGCAGCTAAGGTACAAATAAAACTTCTGCTCAGCAGGTGGCACAGAAGCCTGCTCCTCAGTGGGCTCTGCCTTCTAAACACTCGTCATAATTACTTATGAATTTAGCCAAGTTAGTCCGGATACTGCTTTGCTACTCCAAGTGGGTTCCTCTGACCAGCAGCGTCCAGCCAGCATATTCTGGGGGCTCCTTAGAAGTATACTGTCAGGTGGGACCTCAGACCCGCTGAATCGGGCTTTTCTGCATCATAACATGCCTCCCAGGTGAGTCTTATGCATACTGGCTGGAGAAGCACTGGTGTAAAAAACAAACAAACAAACAAACAAAAAATCCACGAACAAATAAAAACTTGCAATATTTTCCCCAGCAGCTTGTTACTTCCTTATATTTCTATCTAGTTGCTAAAGTGTTACTCCGCAAAAGATTGGCATTTATATACAAAGCTGTTGGTTTAGCTCAGGAAGCTGCAGTATTGCCCCATTCGTGCTGTGCAATCTTTCAGCGAGTTCTCGCCCCACTGTTAGAAAAGTGCGGCCTTCTGGGTTTTGTGCATTACAATGAGCCAAACAGA